CTGATGGGTACCCATGGCAGATATCCTGCAGTAGGGGGGGCTGAAGCAGAACTCCTAGAGCAAATGGTAGAGGGCTTGTTTGTTACATCAGAAGTTGTGACATTGATTAATAAAAGGGACAGCCTTTATATGCACGGTGGTCATGCCTGGCTAGAATGAGAAGCTAAGAAAATGGATATTGCTCATTAAGCTCTAATTAGCAGGTAAATTGTATAAGGGGAAGGGAGTCCAAGTGTTACGATAAGTAATTAATGTGCTCCTTCTTCCTCTGGTTGCCCTTTGATTTGAACCACCTAACTTGTAATCTTTATCAGACATGAAGACCCTGAAAATCCTGGCTGCTAATTATTTTGTGTCCTGCTCTCTTTAATGACTCAAGCACAGGGCATAGGATAAAGTAGTTCTAACCATGATGAATTAAGCCCAGAGGATTTGGAAAGGACAATTATTCTCTCTGTTCATTTAACAAATGTGAACAGTGCCTCCAAGTTGGTCAAGTCGATGTGCCCAGACGTAGCCTGATTAAATGAAAAACAAAACAAAACAAAAACACAGCACCTGTCCCAAACCACTCTTGAGTGGGCTGCTGTCGTGACCTGGCTGACTTTCAGTTCCACTGACTTGATTCCTGCCTAAATCCCTGCTGAGTTCCCTTGAGGATTCAGCCTGACCCCTGGAGTCCTGGCCTCACCTGGAACCAGACTCCCCCTAGCCTGGGTTAACCCACACTCTGCTGAAACCACCTTCCCTTGCCCAAGCTCACCCAGACACCTGTGCACTTTGGGTCTGACCTGTTTCTTGGCCAACAATCCTCCATGCTTTCATTCTGATCCATGTACAAAAAGTTGATTGTTCTCTCTTGTGGAAGAGGTACAAACTGTGTCAGTGAAGCATCTTGAGGGCAGGGGGAGGGAGGTGGAAAACCAGGTCACTCTCTATGTCCCTCTCCATCTGCACTCTTATGGGGGTCTGGGATGCTGGTGAGTGGCCATTGGGTGGCTCCTGTCAGGAATTAGTGTCTGAGGATGCTGGGCAGAGAGTCTTTGATATCCCAGAGAGCCCCTTTCCTCAATGCTAGTGCAACAGAATAGAGCTCAGACAGAATATTAGACACATTCAGAATAATAATACCAGCTAGTGGTTGTTGAATGTTCATTCTTTTCTGGGTAGTGTTCTAAGTGCTTACAGGCGTATCTCATTTAACCCTCCCATCAGCCCAATGCATTATGGTTATCTGCGTTTTAAGTAACTTACTCAATGGCACACATCTGACCAGTGGCAGATCTGCGTTCTGGGCTTGTTTTTACTCCCTGGTTCAAAAATAAAAATGGACAAGAAAGAATTGAACCAACTGTAGTCCTCATTTATAAAGCATCTATTTGGTGCTAGGATGGGCGAAACATGAGGGACAGGGCCTGGGTGGGCAAAGCAGCTCACAGGCTCCTGTGTAATTTCCCCTTCTCATTGGGATCGCATCAAATCCTCAGTTTTATAGGACCTGGGAGGTTGAGGGGTTGGAGGAAAGACTGCTGATGAACATAGGGCTTATTTTGAAGGGGATGAAAATGTTCTGAAATTAGATAGTGGCGATACTTGCACAACTCTGTGAATATACAAGAAACTACTGAATTGTACATTTTAAAGGATAAGTATTACGATATGTGAATTATATCTCAACAAAACAAACAAAAACCAGAACAGCAGGAACCAAAAGAGAACATGGACTCTGCCCTACCAAGTCCCAGAACCAAACACTATCTTATTAAGCTGGGCTGTAGGAGAAAGACCCTAGGTTGAGAGATGGTCTGGTCTGTATTTAAGCCCTGTCATGACTTGGGCAAGTCCTTTTGCCTCCCTGGACCTCAGTTTTCTTATCTGTTTAATGGCTTTATTGTGAGAAAATATATTCCCAATGAGCTTTTGGAAACTATAAAATGCTTATTTAAAATGACACTCGCTACCCTGAGCATTTGTCATTGCCAGGGGAGGGAGGGAGATGGGGCAGGAGCACATCACATCAATAAGGACACCTGATCCCAAACCAGGTGAAGGGAGGACCAATGGTAGGCCCAAACTTCACCTGTTTGATGAGCACTTAAGTACCAACTCCGAATTGCACCCCACATCTTAAAAAAAAAAATTTTTTTTTAAATGTTAAAAATAGAAACCAAAAAGAAAAAAAATCATACTCACTAATTCCAGGCAAGGTATTATTAGAGTGCTTGAGAGTTCAACAGAGCGCCATGATCTGAAGCTTCAGGCGTTATTTTCATGCGAGCAGAAAGATGACCCGTTCCTGAGCAGACACTGTTGGTTTGCAACTTGGATGGAATTGGAGACCATCATCCTAAGTGAATGAACACAGGAACAGAAAAGGAAACACAGCATGTACTCACTTATAGGGAGAGCTAAACCAAGGGTCTGAAAAGGCATAGAGAGTGGTATAATGGACATTGGAGACTCAGAAAGAAAAGGGGAGAAGGAATAACAAAAAAAATCAGAATGTGCACAGGTGGGGGTGGTGGGTACACTTAAAGCCCAGACTTCTTCGCTGTTACACAATGTAACTGCTGTCACCAAAACCTCTTTGTACTCCCTGAGGCTACTGAAATAAAAAATAAATAAAATGAGGATAATAGACTCTCTCATAGTGTGACTGACAATTAACAGATAGAACACGTATTCTTTGGTAAAGAAATAAACAATAAGTGTTAATTCTAAAAAAAAAATAAATAAATAACCAAACCTGCTCGTTTGCTATCTCTCATTTCTCAGAGAGTATCCCAGGTGTCCTCTATTTGGATTCTATATCTTAATAGATTTTAAATATAAAATAAAATGTTTCTGTTCACCCCAGTTCTTAGGGCCTCCTAACAGGTATTTTAGAGAAAGAGGAGTAATTAAAAATCCCTTGGAATCTTGACCATATACACTGCAGTCTACCCAGTGAAAGGGCTTCCCTTTAGCTGCACACCTTCCAACAGGGATTGATTCTCTCCTTGTGTGATTGTCTCCATAGAACTGATTCAATGCCTGTTTTTCTTAGCACTGGGGCAGTGTTCAGAACCTTTATCAAAACAAATTCCTAAGCATAAGAAAATTTAATTAGATACAGAATTCTCTCCCCCTAGATTATATTAAAATACTGTCTTGTCTGGTATTGATAAACCCACATCCCCCGAGGTCACGGTCAGTAGTGTCCAAGCAGGGGCAGGGGCCAAGGGATCAGCTCACCCTCTCCCTCCTGCCTCCTCCTCCTCAATCCCAGGGAAGTCTCAGGGCATTGACGAAAAAGCCTGAGTGTGCAAGCTGTCCTTCCAGGTGTGTTTGGGATGGGGAGAGTTTAGTGTGAACGCTTGTCGCCCCCCCTTAATTAATTTTGTTTAGTTGAATGCAAAACCGCTGCTTTCCATAAGAGAAATGATTCAAACCCTCGGAGAACCAGCGCGAGCAGCCTCTTTAAGGCTGCCGGCCTCTTTTCAGGGCGCCTAGACGTGTAGGAACAGTCGCGCCGGTTCTTGGGCTGCGTTTAGAATGCAGGATTGGGGTGGAGGCTTTTGAGCTAGGGAAAGCGCTTACAACCTTGGTTTCCAACAGTGCAGTGACTTTTTCCGTTCAAGGACTCTGTTGTTGAAGTCTGTCGCGGAATCCACCCCCAGTCTCCCGACCACCTCCCCGACCCTCGACCCCCACCCCCCCACACCCCGGGGCAGGAAGGTGGTCGCATCCAGACCTGCGCTAACCCCTCTCCCCACTGTGGCAAGAAAGCTGGTCTGCAACAAGTTTCAAGGTGTCTGCCGAGATTCCGGAAGGCTTCCTGACCGAAGCCGTGACTTTGAGTAGCTGGCAGGATTCCACTCCCGTGACCAAGGCTGTTGAGGCAGCGAGGGTCCGAATCGCGCCCATTCATTTGGCCCAAATATTGGAATTTCCCGTGGCCCGCGCGCTGCGAAGCCAGGGCGCGCCCCAAGGATCCGCGACGCCCGGGGAGGAAGCTCCGCGGGGTTGAGGAGCGGCCCGACCGGGAAGAGGTTCAAACGAGACCCCTGATGGGGGATGAAAAGGGAGATGGACCGAGAGGAGTCCTGCCTGGGGCGGGGTCGCGGGTCTGCAAGAGGTTTCTTGGTTTTGCCGCCCGGTCCCTCCACGCCCTTCTCACCGCGTGCGCTCAGCTCGCTCGGCCGTCAGCCAGAGTGCCGGGCGCCGTGAAAGGGAAGATGAGCCAGAGCTGCTCGCCCAGGGTTTTTTCGAGGAGCAGTGGCCCCAGAAAAGGGCTTTTCTGCTTGTTTTACTTTTTCCCCAAAGCATCCCCTTAGCTCCCGCCGCCGGGCAGCCCGCAGCCGGGAAGACGAGCTTTGACTCTCCTTCGTCCCAAAGCTGAGGACCCAGCGGCCACCAATACCTCCCCTCGCTCCCAGGGTACAGACCACTCGGCTTTCGAGTTGGGTTCGGGTTAGTGTCTTTATCCAGAGCGCGAGACCGTACATATCTTTACTGCGAGCGCAAGACCGACCAGGATGAAGTGAGGGGGCCACTCGCCGCTGCCGCTGCCGCTGGGGCTAAGGGACCCAAGGGGCTTCAGGAGGGAACGGGTGTGGGGATAAGTTCCGTAGAGATCAGAGAGCTAGTTTTGAGGTGGGAGCCCCCAGCAGTAGTTCCCGGTCCCGCACGCGAAGCATAAGGCAAGAGGGTGGAGGAGTGGGATAGAGCCGTTCAAGGGACCGCTAGCTGTCCCCTACGCCCTGCTGGGGGCTGCGGACTGGCTTGGGCTGGGACTGGACCCCAAGAGAAACAAACCCCATGCTCCCATCTGCAATATTCCTCTCTTTGCCTGGTATTGCTTTAGAGGACAAGAGAAGCAAAGCACTTGCTAGAAACGGTTGCGCAGTTGCTGGCGGGGAGGGAAGATGGACTCTGAGCTGGTGGTAGTGGAAAAATACCTGGGGGAAGGGGGAGCAGCGAGCTAGGGGGGAAGCACATACATGGCAGTCGGAAGCGAGATGACTCCTCGAGGAGGATTTGCCCAAAAGAGGTAGGGGCCAAAGCGGGGGCGGCAGGGGAGCTGTGATTGGTCGAGGGGAGGGGTTTGGGGTGGGGCTAGGGGCTTCCCTAGGCTTTAAAAGCTCAGCGTGAAGGCGGGGCGAGCTGTCATTTGCTCTCTGGCTCTCGAAGAGGGAGCCACGAATTCTCGGAGCTCCTGGAGACTGATCAGGTGCTGGCAGTTTCTGAGTGTGCTGGGGAGTTCCTAACGGACTCCCGGCGCACCATGGAGCCTACCTCGGCGGCTCCCGGAACTTTCAGCTGTTTTGCCTGTCTGCTGCCACAGCATGACTACCCACCGGCAGTGGTCACCTTTATGTTCAGCTCAATTATTACTGGCATGGTCGCAGACCTGGTCAGCAACTTCATGGTCATTTTGGCTGTGAAAAGGAACAAGAAGCTCCAACATTCTGGTAAGCCACCTTTCCTTCTTCCTACCCAGTGTCCAGCTACTTGCAGCCCCTGAGGTGTTAGCTTGGGTCCCCAACTAGGACACTGCCCTCACATCGAACGTCCCCGCTTCCAAGTTCCCCGAGACCCCGGGGGTGGTGACGCGCTGCCGGTCCCTGTTATCTTGGAGGTTCTCAAAGCCAAGGGAGCTCAGGGAATTAGCTTTGGGCATCTGAGCGCCAAGCCCGGGTTCCCGCGGTGCGCGGCAGCCCAGCCGATGCCCGTTCCGTTTGGGGTCTGATGCGGAGGGAGCCGGCACCCGAGCGGAGAGTCTGGCGGCCGCCGGTGACAGCAAACCAA